CGGCTAAAGTGCTGTAGTATAGGCGTAATGGGATTAAAGTGCGCAATTTATAAAGTGCGGATTATACTCAATGGATAAAGTGCTGGCAGATGGAGAATTAGCAGCATTAGTCAAGACGATTGTAACAACATGATAGTAACTTTTAAGGGCAAACATCTCTTTATTTCAAACAGTGTGCCCATGACAAACAATAGCACAACAATTCCCAGCCATAAATGTCCTCCCTTCTTTTGTCTTCCCCAAAATGCAACTACTTTTTGTAAACAAACTAGGTTCACAAGGGCTACCAAAGTTCCTGAAAATAGCAGATGATTTATTTGATGTTGCTCAAGTCCTATAAGGGCATATCTTAAGGTTTTTTTTTGTTCTTCCTATGTAAGACGTAGTTTCCATATGAAAATGCAAAAAAGGAAAACTTTGGAGAGCGAGAGAGAGAAAAGAAAATCACAAGGCATGAACTATTCAGACTCGGTGAAGCATGAAGAACAGGCAAGAGTTATTTCACTGGAGGACATTCCTGCATTCCTCCTCATTAGTATAGCAAGGTAAAAGAGGGACCATTAATATTTCCCTTTCCCTTGCTCTTTCCTTTCTCCTGTGCTGGTTTCTAGGTCACTGGGCACCAGACAAAAGGGATCCGTGGAACTGTGGCTGTTCTAGAGCACTGGCTTGTTAATGGTTTGAGCAATTTCGTTGGAAATGAAAGAGGGAAATGAAAGAGGGACTTGTCCCATAAAGAGTCCTGTAAGCGTAGAATGAATTGTGCCATTTCAGTGGGTGTGTGTGGATGGGTTGTCATTTTATACTTGAAAATCCCATATATAAATTATTACAGCAGAATGAAGAAAGGACCAGGCTGGAACCTCTCCTTATGTTGTGCCAATTTTCTAGCTGCAAGTATTGTTTTGAAATGGCAAACAGCACTGGAAAGGAGTATCTCCTCCACCTTAAATAAAAAATGGTGCAATCCAGTCTACCATCTCAGGCTACAGACACATGTAGCAGTGATGAAGCATGAGGTTACCACAAGACCTTTTTGTTATTTTTGGCAGCATTGTACAAGGAGAGATCCAGTGTCTCCTTCTGCAGTCCATTCCCCTACACTGCTCCATAACTGTCAGATAGTAGGTGCTTGTGTCCCAAACCATCACAGAAGGTCCTCCCTGACACAAACAGTCACAATGATGTGCCGAAACTGCTATGTTAAGGCATCATCCGAGGGCCCTTCTGCACAGTCCAAAATGCGGCAGCAATTGGCATTTAAAATGTCATTTTGAAGTTGCACATATAGTGGAAACCCTGCCTTTGTGGCTGGGGGTGGGGTGACCATACACCATACACCCACCTGTGCTGGTACACAATTGGCATAGGTGGGGGGCAGTACCAGCCCCCCCTCCCTGCCCTGCTTTCACCCCCAAAATAAAATAAAATAAATTGCCTCCTTACTAAGGCTCAAGGCTTGGCTTGACTCCCTGGTGCTGCTATTTTTAAAACCTGGAATAAACCTGTTTATCCACTCCAAGTTGTGGTCATCAAAGGAGCTCTCCAAGGTGCTGAACTCTATTCCCCAGAATATTAAAATGCACGGGCTTAGGGTGTCGTTTAAAGGCCCCAGGCTAATGCGATTCCCATGCCACATTTATGTAGCTGTGTAGATGGGGTCTCACTGGCAACTGTTACCATTTGTCAGCTTCACATTTTGCCTGATCCCATTTTGAGTGGGAGCATGTGAAATTGTTGCCTCATTGTTGTTTCCGTTTCTATCTGTCATCATCATCTGTAATGGCATGGGCAAACTTTCCAACCTGGGGGCCACATGGTGGTCCAGAAAGAGGTGGGTTGGCCGGGAGGGGAGGGTTTCTCCCCAAGTCCCCTCCCTGTCCTTTCATCCCCTTCCTTGTCTCTTTTGGAGACAGAAAGTGAAGGAAAGACAGGAAACGTTTGGATCCCAAAAGGGTTGGTCTTGATAGAGAAAATGTATATCCGTTAGACCCTGATATAGAATTCTAGAGTTGGAAGAGACCCTCAAGGGCCATCTAGTCCAACCCCCTTCCATGCAGGAAGGCACAATCAAAGCACTCCCAATAGAAAGCCTCTGTGGAAAAGCCTTCTGAGAAGGAGACTCCACTGCATGCCGAGGCAGCCTATGACCCTCTCCAGGAAGTTCTTCCTAATATTTTCCTGCCATTTGAACCCATTGCTCCCTTATGCCTAGTCTCTAGAGCAGCAGAAAATCAGACCCCCCTTTTACTCCTCCCCAATGGAATACCCTTTTAAATCTTGAAACGTTGTTCTCATGTTCCCTCTCTACCTTCTCTTCTCCTAGCTAAACATCCCTCAGGAGGAAAGGACGAAGAAAAAGAGAAGGAAGGAAGGAAGGAAGGGAAGAAGAGAAGGATGTAAGGAAGGAAGTGTGTAATGGGGGAGGGGAGGGAGGAAAGAGAGAAGGAAGGAAGGACGAAAGGGAAGGAAGGAAGTAGCAAGAGGGAGAGAGAGAAAGAGGGGGGAAAGAGGAAAGGATGGACTGAAAGAATGGAAGGGATGAAAGAAGGAAAGTGAGAAGAAAGGACAAAAGGGTGGAAAGGAATGGAAGTAGGGAGAAAGAGGGAGGGGAGGGAAAGGAAGGAAAGACAAAAGGGAGGAAGGAAGAGGAGAGGGAAGAAGGGAAGGAAAGAGGGAAGGAAGGATAGGATGGTGAGAGAGAGGAGAGTCTGAGAAAAGAGCCCAAGGGGTCGCATCTGGCCCCCGGGCCTGGGTTTGCCTATACCTGATCTATATTGAAGAAGCTCGGGGGGGGGGGGGCTGATTTCAATATGATTTGTCTTCAGATGGGAACATTCATTATCTCCCTTTCACCCTCTCTAGATCCAATCTCCACTCCCCCACCTACCTTACCCAAACCCTAGCCCTACAACACCACCTTTCCTTTCTTTTTTTACCTTTCTTTTTTTACCTATATGTACACAAAGAAAACCCTTTATAAAAACTATTTTTTAAAAAGAAAGAAAGCTAGGACCTCATCCTTGCTACACAGAGGTTTGTCCTGTCTGAATTGTATGATCAACAAGCAAATCACCTGACAAGCACAACAGCCAATTCAGAGAATATTAGGACACTGAGGGTCAATTGCTTTGCCCTTCCAACCAGAAAAAATGACATTACTCCTGCTCTCGCTCTCGCTCTCTCTCGCTCTCTCTCTCTCTCCCAGTACCACAGGTTGGAAGGAATCACTCAAATCCAAATATTAGTACCAAGCAGAATTCTCCAGACTAATGAGTGATAAGTAATATAGCTATTTGTAATGAGTTCCCTTAAGAAGAAATAAGGGTGAAATGAAGTCACATTCCAAAAGTAATGTACTGAAGAGGAGTGAAGTTACCCTACTGATGCAATTAGCAACATTTTCTCCTTTCTTTTAACTGTGACTTTCTGAGGGTCATGTTCAAAGGCATTTTGATGTGGATTTTTCAAGTTTTCACTAATCCTAGGTTGTTGGGGTTTTTTTAAAAGAAAAAATGGTGATGGAAAAATAATGAGCATCATTTGAAGTAACACAACAAGCTACTTCTTAAACTTTTCAGTCGGTGGCAGTTGCAGGAACGGATGTCAATGGGACAAAAATCCACTCCAAGCTGTGGTCTTCAAAGGAGCTCTCTAAGGTGCTGAACTCTATCCCCAGAATATCCTCATCTCTGATAGCTCCCTTTAACGTTCAGATTAAATCCCGGAGAAGATTCCCTGCCCTATTGACATTGAAGTCCTCATTATTTACAATGTGTAAGGGCCATTTATTTGTTATTTGTTTATTTTTCAGCTGTATAATGAGTACCATTAAAGAATCGCTTTTAAAAAGTGACAATGGGTGCTGGAATGCTGGAGGTATTCTGTAGGTTCACAATTGCAGCTTAATGGTACTCCCAGTTCTTGATTGACTATGGGGCTCCTTCCTTGTGCTATCAAGCTGCAGGTTTGCTGTGCAAGAAGAACTAGATAGCTCCATCTCCAATGACTGAAAAAGTATATACATTATCAGGATGGAAGGCTATACTAGTATATGACACCAGTGGGTTGTCAGTATTAGAAACCAGATACACAAACTCCTCTCTTTCAAACAATGCTCAAAACAGTTGGACTTTGAACCATGACTTGATTTTCCTTGAATTGGGTACATACCCACCACTCATATCTACCTGCCTTTTGCACTATTCCTTTTCTTCCGTGGTGGTGAAACTGGTTTAATGGTAGTAGTAACACGTGCTCGGCCTCTTCTTCCTCCTGTGAGCTACCATTGGATTTAGATGAGATTAGATTATTAAATTGTTTCCTATATTCCTGCACAATTGGGGATTTAGGATTAGGATACCAGGAAATCAGAAGACATTTACTTTTTGGGAGGAGAGCAATGACCAATCTCGATAAAATAGTGAAGAGTAGAGACATCACACTGGCAATGAAGATCTGCATAGTCAAAGCAATGGTATTTTCCCTGTAAGAACCTACGGATGTGAGAGCTGGACCATAAGGAAGGATGAGTGAAGGAAGATAGATGCTTTTGAACTGTGGTGCTAGAGGAAATCCTGAGAGTCCCTTGGACCGTAAGAAGATTCAACCAGTCCATACTTCAGGAAATAAAGCCTGACTGCTCATTAGAGGGAAGTATAGTAGAGGCAAAGATGAAGTACTTTGGCCACATCATGAGAAGACAGGAAAGCTTAGAGAAGACAATGATGCTGAGGAAAATGGAAGGAAAAAGGAATAGGGGCCGACCAAGGGCAAGATGGATGGATGGTATCCTTGAAGTGACTGGATTGACTGAAGGAGCTGGGGGTGGTGATGGCTGACAGGGAGCTATGGCGTGGCCTGGTCCATGAGGTCATGAAGAATCAGAACAAATAAACAACAACAAACACAAGAATTTATACACAGCTCAGATTCATAAAGTCAGATCTGGAGAACAGACAGAACAAAGAGGGCTTGGCAAGGTTCTGTGCATACTCTACCTGTTTGGGAGTATGGAGCAATTCTTGGGCAACAGTTGTAGTCATGATAGCCTGGTGGCTTGCTGTACTGGGCTGTAGAAAGAGCGACAATCCAGCTACAAGCTGGATTCCCATATTGGTGATGGTCACTTTGTCATCCAGCACAGTCACAGTCTTCTCTGCCAAGATGGAGTCAGACAGTGGAGACAGAACCTTTGGAAGAAGCCACCAAATAAACCATTGAGAAACGGGTTACAAGAAGGATACACATTTTCATCTAATTTTCCTGACATTATTCAATACTTCCTCACACTAGTATTTCGGTGCTGTCGACATGCCACAGAAATGTCAGCAGAGGCTGCCTGAGAATGCAGGTGATATTATCAAAGGTCTATAAAATTCAACCAAATGAGTCAGAAGTGTAACTGTAATAATGATTGGTTTACCCTTTACTAAAACTACAAAATTCTCAGCCTTTGTGTGAAGCCTAGATGATGGAACTGGGAATGATCCAAAGGCAGATTGAATATGAGTTGACGGATAAGCAAAGATTAGAGGAGAAGAGTATATTTTAAAAGTTTCAAAGGAACCCAAATGCTAAATTGTTGTTGTTTTTGTTGCTGTTGTTATTTGAGAACTAAACAAGATTAGTCCACAGCAAACAAGATCACTATGCTGGTTGTTGTATTGGATCACACATCAGACACTTATTTATTATTATTATTATTACTTATTATTTTTAATAAGTACTTTTATATTATATACTAATATAAATATAAAAATAAATAAAATAATTATTTTTAATAATTACGTAATAATAACAACTTATTATTATTATTTTATTACCTCCTATACCAACTTTCTCCCCCACAAATCTGAGAAACATTGGCCAAGTATCTTGATTTTGAGAGGAAAGACCATTGGAGGTTCTGTAGACCAGATTGGTGAGGCTCTGGATTTAGATTCCTTATAATACAGAGATGGAGAATGCTCCCCACCCCTGGCATTGTTGGAGTGCAATTCTCATTAGCAAAGCCCATAGCATGGGATGATTAGAGATAGAATCCAACAACGGCCACACATTTCCCATCCTACTTGGGACATAGCTTAAAACACGTAGAAGCAGCAAAGGATAAAAGGACACATACAGGTTATTCAGAATACAGCAAAATCGTTTTCCTTCTTATCATTCATGGATCAGTCTTTGAACAAATGAGTTTACAGCAGTTGGATGTTGTGGTAGCTATTGGGAGAAGGTAGCAAGGAAAGCTGGAGCCCCTGGCGGCGCAGTGGGTTAAACTCCTGTGCCGGCAGGACTGAATCCGGGGAGAGGCGGATGAGCTCCCTCTATCGGCTCCAGCACCTCATGTGGGGAGATGAGAGAAGCCTCCCACAAGGATGATAAAACATCAAATCACCCGGGAGTCCCCTGGGCAACATCTTTGCAGACGACCAATTCTCTCACACCAGAAGCAACTTGGAGTTTCTCAAGTTGCTCCTGATACGACAACCCCCCCCCCCAAAAAAAAAAAACAACCAGAAGGAAAGCTTGTGATGCGTAAAGTTCAAAATCAGAGATGGGAGAAACCCAAGCCTCCAAAAGTACTGTATATACTCAAAGATAAGCCTAGTTTTTCAGCCCTTTTTTTGGAGCCCATGGTGGTGCAATGGGTTAAACCCTTGTGCCAGCAGAACTGAAGACCGACAGGTGGCAGGTTCAAATCCGGGGAGAGCGCAGATGAGCTCCCTCTGTCAGCTCCGGCTCCCCATGCAAGGACATGAGAAAAGCCTCCCACAAGAATGGTAAACCATCAAAAACATCCGGGCGTTCCTGGGCAATGTCCTTGCAGATGGCCAATTCTCTCACACCAGAAGTGACTTGCAGTTTCTCAAGTCGCTCCTAACACTGCCCCCCCCCCCCCACTCAAGTCGCTCCTAACACTGCCCCCCCCTTATACTCGGGTGAGCATCCTGGCAGGAAGGCGTGGTGCTGAAAGAAGGGCTTCTTTCAACCCCACGCCTTTCTGCCAGGATCCTCCCCTTTCCGCACAGCAACCCAGCTTGCCTTCCTCTCTTCCTCTCTTGGCACTAGTCTTTCACACTTTCCCTTATTCATATACACACAGCATTTTCCCAAAAATGTATAGTTAAAATAAACTATGGTGAATATTGGAAGGATATCTAAGCACATTTACAATGAAGATGGTTAGAATAATGATTTAGTCAGAGTTACAGTTTTATGTAAATATTCAAAAACATTTGACCTATTAATGTAATGTTATTGGTATCTATTTTTATTTTGAAATTTACCAGTAGCTGCTGCATTTCTCACCCTCGGCTTATATTCGAGTCAATACATTTTCCCAGTTTTTTGTGGTCAAATTAGGTGCCTCGGCTTATATTCTGATCAGCTTATACTCAAGTATATATGGTAACCTTCTGCCTGGAATAGAGTTTCTTGGAGTTGAATGGCTGATCCTTTTAATGGGGAAATAGGCAGCATGGCTCAGAATCAGATGCGATATTATTAGTGCCATGTTACTGATCGCAGACTTGAACAAGAAAAGAAGAGAACTGGAGGAAGTAGGGAGCTCTCATAGCAAGGTGCGCCTAAGGAAGTTTCAAAGACAGCGTAATGTTGATGACTAACCTGGACCATTGTCATGCCAACTTCCTGTCCAACCAGAACTTTGCCTCCCTGTAGCTGGGCCACGTGCGGCTCCTCAAGCTTCATGAAGTCTGTCACCAAATCTGTGATGTCGAAGTGCCAGTCAGAGCCCAGCAAATAGGTGAGTTGTCCCCATGGGGTGGAATCCTCCGCCACAAACTGAGTGAGAACACGCACCATGGCATGCTGATACTGGAGGGTACAGCCTCTTCCCTTCCGCTCATCTTCCTCATCATCATCACTGTCCCGTGTAGGTCTAAAAGAGTATTATTTGCAATGACATTCTGTCCCCAAAACAATAATATCCAGCAGGCAGGCTGCAAAGCCTCATGTGTGCAGACACCTCAAGTATGGCGATTCACCATTTTCTATATATGTCTATGGTTATGTACTTATAAATATTGTTGCTTTCCTTTCTGTGTGTTTTTTATTGTCAAAATTTTTAATTAATAATATTGGGGGAAAAGAATGGGGATTCACCATTGTGTACATAGAACTTTTTTTTGGTTAAGAGGAGGGACAAAAAGAAGTCCCACACGTGCCATTAGAGTTGCTATATCCTGACCAACCGGTTTCCTCGACAGCTAGGCACTTTTTTTTCCTGATGGATGCTTTGCATGTAGAAGGTCTCAGGTTCAATTCCTGGCAACTCCATTTAAAAGAATCGACAGCAGGGGATGGGAAATACCAATCTCTACTTGAGCCATTGAAGAGCTGCTACCAGGCTAGGCAAATAAATTATCTGCCTTGCATTAAGACAAGTCTCTATCTTCCAAATACATATTCCCATGGCTTACTGCCCCACTAGCTGACTTGCACAGAGAATTCCTATCTTGTCCCTCTTCTACCCTGTGGTTTGGTACTCGGAGCAAATTTGGATTAGAAAGTCCGGGATACTGGGACTTCAGTAAAAATGGGTAAGGCTCAGTTTATTTTTTCATCTATCACGGGTGCTCAGCTTTAAAATGTACTCTCCTTACAGCAGAAAGCCAGTTGCTGTTGCATTCCTTTCAGTTAATAACTGACCCTAAGGTGAACCCGTCATGGCATTTTCCTACCAAGGTTTGTTCAGAGTGGGTTTGCCTTTGCCTTTGCCTGCCTCTGAGGCTGAGGGAGAACAACCTGCATAAGGTCACCCAGAGGGTTTCTATTATGGAGCAAGGATTTGAATCCCAGTCTTCAAAGGCATAGTTGTTCAATGATCAAACTACTACACTATGCTGGCTTCCCAAAATCTGGAGGGGGTTCAAATATTTATTTATCTATCTATCTATTTCACATATTTATATCCCATTCTTCTCAACCCCAAGGGGGGACTCAAGGTGGCTTACAACAGGCAACCATTTGATGCCATCAAACAGATTCATAGATAGCAATTGCAATTAAAACAGTAATTAAAGCATTAAATTATTACAACATTCATTTAAAATCACGGAAATTCAAATCATAGTCAAACCAATTATCAGCAACATAGGGTCGGTATCAATCTCAATTGCTGCATCTATTGTTTGAACGCTTGACCTCACAACCATGTTTTAAGTTGTTTTCTAAAGGATAGGAGGGAGGGGGCTGATCTGATGTCACTGGGAAGGGAGTTCCTGAGACAAGGAGCCACCACTGAGAAAGCCCTGTCTCTCATTCCCACTAGTCGTGTTTGCGAGGATTGTGGGACCGAGAGCAGGACCTCCCTTGGCAATCTTAACCTTTGTGGAGGTTCATAGTGGGAGATACGTTTGGACAGGTAAACTCGGCCGGAACTATTCAGGGCTTTATAGGCTAAAGCCAGTACTTTTAATTGTGCTCAGTAGCTTTTTTGTGTGCTGCAAAAAAGTGGGAGTCTTAGCTGAGTCATCAATTCTTGATTCATTGCTAGTATATCTCACTTACACTAACTTTTCTTAGGAGAAAGGAGGCAGAGAAGTGGGAAAGGTTGGTTGCATGAGACAGGACTTGAGGGATGTGCCAGCTGGTGGCTTCTATGTCTGTTGGTCAGTGAATCTCCCCTAGATCACTGCTTCATAAATTGTGGGTTCCAACCCCAAATTGGGTCCACCTAGCTCAACATTGGGGTCATAACAAATTTGGCAAAAGGTAAAGATATCTGAATACCATCCATTTCAATAAATCTGTAGCAACAACATGCAGTATTTACAACACCTTTAAAATTTGCAGTGGATCCACTACCACAACTGACATGGGACTTGCCAGCCATGTTTCAGGCCTCTCCAGTTTTAATTGCCATTAAAATGAGGTAGAAACAGAGCCAAGGCAAATCCTATATGGTAGTTTGATTCTAAAAAAAATCAAATACATCAAGACAAAAAGACCAAACAACCTACCTCTTGTTAGAGACGATGGGAACTCTCCAGCCTTTGATTTGGCTGAGTTCCGTATCTGAAACTTCAATTTGCAGAGGTAGACGTGGCACCCAAACTGTCACTTGCAGGGCAGCACTCAGATATTGATAGGTGAAGTTCACCAGTGTATTAACCTTGCCTTTCATTTCCTTACCATTGACAAAAACATAATCACACCGGTCAGAAACCTAAAAGGAGAGGAAAAGGCAAAATTTTAGAATGACACCAAAACATACTTATGTGCCATTGAATGACTATAATAACAAGTGTGAATGTCCATCACAGATCTGAAACCATGCTCAGGGTGTCCATCTCATCACACTGTCACTGTCAGGTATATGAACAGAGCAAACATTTCTTGTATGCATCCTCTATATATTAATCAAATAAACAAATAAGTTCATTCCTCTTTTTGCCTCCTCAGATCAGCAAAACAGTTTTGGCTATCCTCCCACTTCCACCAGTGAGATTCATTGGAGACAGAGGATTGTCTCTGTGGTGGACCGTGCCATCTATAAGAATATTAACAGCAGTGAGTGAAAACTAGAGAGGACTGCTGTGCTTTTAATGTCTATGTAAAAGAAGAAATTTCAGCATGGGTTACTTGTTATATGATTTTGCGACAAGCAAAAAGTATTGGAATTCCCACTTGTACACAACTAATTAATGGTACAGGAGCCTTCTCTATGTTTCACTCTGGGAACCATGATGAACAATTTCAGTAATTCTGGAGGTATCTGCTTTTCAATTTCCTAGGGACAGCACAGAAGTATTTTTAAAATATTGAACAGTGAAAGCAGCCCCTGTGACCCATTTAAAAGCTGTATCACATCACTCTGAAAGGCCTCCAGGAGAGGCAATTCATCTTTTCTATTTGTCAAAAGAAGTATACTGTATTTCACTGTGTAATAGTTAATTTCGTATGTTTTTTTAGTTGGAAAAGGGGGTGCGACTATTATGTGAAGAAAAAAATTGTGCCAGTACGAAGTACTAGAGAATAATTTACTTAATGAACCAGTGACAGCTTTGCCTTAGCATTGGCTCCCCTTGCAGCTACGACTCTTCAGTGGTCTGAGTCCAAAAGCTGGTACTGTCACTCTCTTCAACCCAGTGATTTCAGACTCTGCTCAGTGAATAGCCATAGCTGCAAGGGGAGCAGGAGGGCAGGCAAAGCTGTCATTGGTACAGTAAACCATGTGATGTGTAACACATATATTCTTGAAGTTCTAACTAAACTGTATACAGTTTGTCTAGCAGCAATACAATGGCACAGGTCACATGTCACAACCATTAGGCAAGGAAAGGAAAGGAAAGAAACCAAATTTGGGATCCAAAAGAGGGATGCAACTATTATGTGGTGTCAACTATTATGAGGTGAAATACAGTAGCTTATAGGAACTTGGCTGGCAAAATAGCCATGGGGGCTCTTATGGGGCCCCACTTTGTCCACCCCTGCTATCCATATATTATGTTCCCCTTATTGTAGACAGATGGAGTACTGAAGCTAGGAGGGGTGAGATTCAAATGTGGGACATCCTGATATAAAAGCCTCTCCTTTGTAAAAGAAATAACTTTCACCTGATTTGATAGAATCGCAGAGTTGGAAGAGACCTCATGGGCCATCCTGTCCAACCCCCTGCCAAGAAGCAGGACAATCACATTCAAAGCACCCCCAACTGATGGCCATCCAGCCTCTGTTTAAAAGCCTCCATAGATGGAGCCTCCACCACACTTTGGGGAAGACAGTTCCACTGCTGAACAGCTCTCAGGGTCAGAAAGTTCTCCCTAATGTTCAGGTGGAAATTTTCCATTCTCCAAATGAAAAGGTGAAGAAAACTGATACAACTTACTAGTTACTGAGCTACATCTATTTGCTTCATCCATTTGATTTGGAGGAGATAAAAGTCAGGTGAAAATAGTTTACTTCACAATGGGCTATTATCAGTATTTATAATTTGTTTAAAGTAGCAAGCCATTTTACCTCCACCCTTTCTTGTCTCTCCACTCTCACGCAAATTTCATTGTGGATTTATCATTTGCATGTAAACATTGTCTCGAAATGCAAGCATGCATTAGCATAGCCAATTCAAGAGTTATATCAGCAATCACTCCTTTAATCAATGTTGTAATTTACAGACCATTGAGTTTCTCATTTATTACGATGCTGAGTACAAGTGGGAGGGATTGTTTTTTAAAAGACAGAGACAGAGATCCTCTCCCAAAGAGATAAATCATTAAGAAAGATGGGGACAGGATGAAGTGGCTCTGTGTGATAAAGTCGTTGTCATAGTGATTCCTAAAGGTGTCATAAATGTCGGAGGAAATCTTGCAATATGTTAATCATGCAGAAAGTGGCCCACAATGGGGCAGTGGTGAGGGCGAATGGGAAGTTTCTGCATTATTAAGAACCAGCAGCAGCATGTTTGCAGAAATCAACAACAAAACCCAATCTCTATGACATTGTCACAGAATTCACATCAAATCTGATGGCAGGTTACTTGTTCATCATTTGCAGAGTGCAAACAGATACTTGTACTATTACCGTAGGTTACACCATTATACAAGTGATTGCATGACAAAAGCCTCAAACTGGCAGTTAGGGACATGTCCTAGGATGGGGTTACATATCTACAAAGTTAGGGAAAGCACAGCAGCTTGTGAATCCTCATGCAAGTGGTTCTGCTAATTGTGCAAACATGTTTTGGATGGCACCCTTCTGCTAGGACAAATGAAGGGCAATTGTATGGCAACCAGACTGATTGATAACTGGCAAAGAGAGGAAGAAAACATGGAGGCAGTGACAGACTTTGTATTTCTAGGTGCAAAGATTACTGCAGATGCAGACTGCAGCCAGGAAATCAGGAGACGCTTACTTCTTGGGAGGAAAGCAATGTCCAATCTCGATAAAATAGTGAAGAGTAGAGACATCACACTGGCAACAAAGATCCGCATAGTTAAAGCAATGGTATTCCCCATAGCAACCTATGGATGTGGACCATAAGGAAGGCTGAGCGAAGGAAGATAGATGCTTTTGAACTGTGGTGTTGGAGGAAAATTCTGAGAGTGCCTTGGACGGCGAGAAGATCCAACCAGTCCATACTTCAGGAATGCCCATTGGAGGGAGGGATATTAGAGGCAAAGATGAAGTACTTTGGCCACATAATGAGAAGACAGGAAAGCTTGGAGAAGACAATGATGCTGGGGAAAATGGAAGGAAAAAGGAAGAGGGGCCGACCAAGGGCAAGATGGATGGATGGGATCCTTGAAGTGACTGGCTAGATCTTGAAGGAGCTGTGGGTGGTGACGGCTGACAGGGAGCTCTGGTGGGGCTGGTCCAGGAGGTCACAAAGAGTAGAAAGTGACTGAATGAATAAATAACAACAACATAAAACACATCAGGGATTTAGCCTAAAGAGAATTTCATCTTCTGTAGCCACTAGAAGTTCATTCTTTGAGGATGGCCTAAAGACATTTGATTGTGATCTTGCATCACTAGGCATAACTACAATAACAGAATTTTATACCCCCGAAAAACCTAGCTCTAAGGCAGTGTTTCTCAACCTATGGGTCCCCAAGTGTTTGGCCTACAACTCCCAGAAATCTCAACCAATTTACCAGCTGCTAGGATTTTTGGGAGTTAAAGGCCAAAACATCTGGGGATCCATAGGTTAAGAATCAATGCTCTAAGGTCTGGCATTATTGCACCCAAAAGGTTACCAAAGTGCTGCAGATTCAGGAGCCAGGAAATGACAACTGCAGTGCTGTCCCACTCTTAGGATGCATAAAACAGGAATGTGGAGAGAACCCTGAGCCACCATTTTCCAGGGACTTGGAAGCCCTTCCCTTGGGGTGCTGCCTGGATTAAGAAGTAGATTTTCAAAGTCATATGTGGTCATTAATAGACATAAATGTGAACCCTCAAAGTGATGAGATCATAAGTATGGTCAAATACTGAACAGGATCACTTTTATTTTTAAACAACCAGGATCAGAGGACAAGTACTTCCCCCCACAGAATTGCACTGGCTACCAATAGATTTCCAAGGCCAGTTCAAAATGCCATTTTAAATCCATTTTTTGTGTGTCAGGAGTGACTTGAGAAAGTGTAAGTCACTTCTGGTGTGAGAGAATTGGCCGTCTGCAACTATGTTGCCCAGGGGACGCACAGATGTTTTGATGTTTTACCATCCTTGTGGGAGGCTTCTCTCATGTTCCTGCATGGGGAGCTGGGGCTGACAGGGGGAGCTCATCCACACTCTCCCTGGATTCGAACCTCTGATCTGTCGGTCTTTAGTCTTTCTGGCACAAAGGTCTAACCCATTGCACCACTGGGGGCTCCTGTTTTTAATCAGTAAAGAATTATATTGCACAGGATATGATGGATAACTTTGACCATCATGAACTCAGCAATACCATAAAAATGTAAATTGATTTTATCCCTGATATATAGTTGATCCCAAAACCCATTTTTTAGGGATATGAAGAATTCCCAATTCAGTTTATCAAAGGCTTTTACAACATCCAGAAAGATTAACACTGCTTGCTTTTCATTATGGTGCTCTTAATACTTTATGATGTCTATCATTTGCCTTGTATTATTTTTAGTTGCCTTTTACAGGTAGAAAGCCATTCTGATCTTGATGGTGCCATTCCAGAAGCACCTTTCTGAGTCTTTCTGTTAAAATGGAGCTAAATAATTTCCAAGCTAGATCTATAACTATTTAATTCCGTCAGGTCCTAATATTCTCTTGGTATTAATGTTATTGTTGTCTCCTGCAATATAAGCTATCTGGACTCAGAACTGCATTTAAACTTGCTTCTAATCTTATTTATTTATTGTGTCAGAAGCGAATGGAGGATACAGTTGTAATGTATTTAAAACACAAATTTAAGAACTTGGCATTATACTAGATTTCCTTCAACCAGAAGCTGGCCACTTGGGGTGCCTCACGTGTTGATGTGAGAAGGTCCTCCATTGTGCATGTGGCAGGGCTCAGGTTGCATTGTAGTAAATGATCTGTGGTTTGCTCTCTTCCACACCTACATGTCATGGACTCCACTTTGTAGTCCCATTTTTAAAAATTGGCTCTGCATTTCGTGGTGCCAGAGAACAGCCTGTTAAGAGCCTTCCAAGTCACCCAGTCTCTCATCCAGTATCAGCCACTGACTGAGGTCCCGGGTTTTAGCCT